GAGACTTAGCCTTATAATTCAAATCAGTCAGGTTAATCTCCACCAGTGATAATACTGTAGTCTTAGCCTTTTTATTTAAATGAGTCAGGCTAATCTCCATTGTTAATAACAATGTGGAGTCTTAGCCTTATTGTTTAAATTAATCAGGTTAATCTCCATCATTTATAGCACTGTAGAGTCTTATCCTTGTTATTTAAATCAGTCAGTTTAATCTCCATTATTAATAACGATGTCGAGTCTTAGCCTTATTATTTAAATCAGTCAGGTTAATCTCCATTATTAATAACGATGTAAAGTCTTTGCTTTGTTATTTAAATCAGTCAGGTTAATCTCTATTAATAATACTGTAGAGTCTTAGCCTTATTATTTAAATTATCCGGGTTAATCTCCATTAGTAATAACAATATAGAGTCTTAGCCTTATTATTCAAATCAGTCAGATTAATTTCTATTAATAACACTGTAGAGTCTTAGCCTTATTATTTGAATTAGTTAGGTCAATCTCTATTAATAATACTGTAGAGTCTTAGCCTCAATATTTGAATTCGTCAGGTTAATCTCCATTAATAATACTGTAGAGCCTTAGCCTTATTATTTGAACTAGTCAGGTTAATCTCTATTAATAATACTGTAGAGTCTAAACCTTATAATTCAAATGAGTCAGGTTAATCTCCATTATTAACAACACTGTAAAGTCTTAGCCTTATTATTTAAATAAGTCTCCATTATTGTTAACGCACTATTTGTTACAGTCAGGCAAATATGTGGTTTAAACATTTTTTTGTAGGGTTTTATATACTATGATTTAAATTATTTAGGATGATCTTTTGTAGGGTTTCAATCCTAAATATTTAAATTAGCTGCAGTGATATTCATAAATAGCACTTTAATAGTAATATTAAAGGTAACATTTATTGTCGTCTGGTAAAGTTTTATTTTATAGAATTTTAGATAATTTTCGTAGAGTTTTAATCATTAATAATTGAATTAATTAGGGTAATCTTCATGATTAATAATACTTTATCAATAATTGTAAATAATATGTGTAGAGTTTTTTTTTGTTAATATTTGTATTGATCAGTTAAAGTCACACAGCACTAGACAGCACTGTTGGATCTTAACCTCACCAAGGTTAATATTGTTTCTCTGGTGGAAAACACTTTGGCTCAAGGGCTGTTGTTTAAACGTGCTGTGTAAATACCTGTGGCTTGGCTGGTTTTGCGAGGACATGGCTGGATAAAATACCAACAGCATTACGCAACCAAATACTATCTACTAAAACAAACAATGCCCCTCCTGTTCACCTGTATTAAAACTGGTCGCTATGAGCCTAACGAACAGCCCTAAATTCATTTTGAACATCTCTCAGGATTGTGCACGTATGGATGCAGTGGTGGGCGGTGAGGGCTTCCCTCTGCTCCGACTAACAGTCCGTTCAGCGTGTTATCTAATGCAGGTACCGGTTTGTCTTTCGATTGAACCAGCAGCTCATTGGAACACACTCCCCTGCCCTCCCACATTCAGGGAATTCATGGCTTCCCCGCTTTGAAAGTGAGCGAGCGAGCAGCGTAGGTGCTGCAGGAGGCTGGAGCTGCGTGGTAGCGCACGGCGATGCGTTCACCCGGGGAGGGGAGGAGGAGGAGGAGGAGGGGGTATTCTCGTCCTGGCTCGAGCCATATTAGGACACGCTTCCTGTCGATAAACTCCTCCTACGTCACTGAGATGATCAGAAGTGAAACAGTTGTCACCTTCAAAAATGTCGCCTGTATTAACGAGCTGCTCCGCACAATTAGACCAGAAGAGCTGCTTTTACGCACGTCTTCATGTCAGGTCTGACACTACAGCTGCCTTTATATGTACAGCACATATTTTGTGGTAGCTTTAACAAGCATCAGGGGGAAAAAAAACTGAGCTGAATGAATTTTGGGTCATCTAAATAATCTTTCAAATGCCACATTCAGATTTTTGTGTCATTTCATTGAAGCTGTCCTTGGGCTGTAGATTGCAGCACTTATTTGTAACTGGTGTATCGATTTCTGCCAGCAGTGGGAGCATCACTGGAGGAGGAAATCGTGTTTGACAGGACTGCGGAATATCCCTTTGTGTGTGTGTGTGTGTCTTTTTTTAAAAGCACAAATGAGCCACGCACAGATTCTTCCCCAGACAATGTGTGATGGAGCATATGAGATGTGGGAGTGGAGGAGCCACGTCGGTGCGAGTGAGGGAGGAGGGAGGGAGGAAGGAGGAGGTGATGGTAGTGCAGGCTGCTGAAAAGTGTGTCGTGATTCTGAACTAAACGCACCTGATTTTTGAGGGGCTTGGCCATGGGACTGTGACTCAGTGCATCTGCATCACAAAGCAACACTCTGAAGGTCAGAACACTTGTACCAGACAATGTGTGCTGGTGGAGTTTCTGAACAGAAGCAAAGCTGGAGAGGCTTTACCAAGTAGAGCCACCTTTTGCATTCAACCTACCTCTACATCAATATAATCCACCCAGTACTTCATATAGTTTTAATAATCTAGGTTTAGACTCCATTTCTTACCCTGTATATCCAGATTGCATCCAAATGCATTTGTGCTTCCTGCAAATACTTGTTAATCTTACAAAAATACATATTTAGACTATAGGGCTGCAAGGTGGATCAGTGGTTAGCATCGTTGCCTCGCAGCAAGAAGGTCGCCGGTTC